CTGATCTGGGCCCTGGCCTGAGAAAAGAATGAAGCAGAGCGCAAGCAGAGTACGCGTGCCAAAAGAGATCTGGACTACAGTTGTCTCAGCTCCTGAGGTTGCCCATACTATCTGACCGGAACCTTCAACGATTGGAAGTATGACGAAATGGAAGTAACTTGGAAGAAACACGATGCTGCATGCTCACTCTGATGAGAAGTCATGTAAGGCAGATGCCAGTGTGCCCGGCCTTTTCTATTCGACGATACGCATATCTGCCAATGTCGAAGAAGAGCCTGGTGCTTATGCGCAGAGCTTCGCAGGGAACAGTGGCAATAGCTGAGTGACTTGCGCAATTTTTCAACTGTTCAGGTTTCAGATCCTGGCAGACAAAGAGCCGAAGATGACTTTCCATCCATCAAGCAGGACGGGCACGGAGAAGAATGATGCATGACAGAAGCATACAAAAGCATACAAAAGCTAGCAAGATGTGACATGTTCTTGCAGTTAGCATCTAACGGGAGGGAGAGCAACGTGATAGGAAGAGTTGAGAAAGGGAACAGACCTTTTCAGACATCTCCTCCCCCTATTCCGTCAAGATTGCAGCAAGCACAGCGGCTTGTTTCAGAGAGTCGGAGAAAGCGGGAGCCCTGTAGTACCTCGGAGGACATCAATGAAGTCTTCTGCTGTCCGCGGGCCAGAGGAGACAAAACGAGAAAACTGCTGGTGCATCAGAGGATCGAAAGGTGAGAGGTTTCTCAGTTGCACTGCGAGCACCATTCTGTATCATTCTGTGTTGCATTTTCAAGTTATATAAATGTTATATAGCATTTTTTCATGGGCCCACTCTGGGGCCCACTCTGCTTCCAGCGACTGAGGTATCGCGTTGAGTTCTACAGATCTGACACGGGTGCTGCAACGGTGTCCTGGCTGAGAGAGCCGTAGTGCAATCTTCCGTCATAGACTCCACAATGAAGCTTTTGCAGAAACTTGATGCATATGAAGTGCATATGAAGTGCATATGGGCTCATGTGTCCTTTGGCCTCTGAACTTAGCGTTGGTAGCATCCTCATGACCAGCCTGCCGCCGTGGTGGAAAAGCATGGAAATGTGCTGATGCTAAGCTGCTACAGCCGCTGTAACAGCCTGAAGCCTCCGTTGATTTGAAGACATTCTTCGCATTATTCGCCCACGGCCTGCTCCCGAAGGTCCTTGCTGATCTTGCATGAAGATATCGTGCTAAGTCTGCGGTCGGTGGCAAGCAGCGAGCAATCCGAAGCTAACGAATTTTGTATCAGCGGGTCAGAAGTAGTCGGAAGGCTCATGCTTCAAGCAATGCGAAGCGCAACGCTTGCACAAAATGGGTAGGTCGCGTGCCCGTGCAAGGTGCCCGTAGCTTACAGGAACTTTGGAACAACGGGGTTGGACGCGGAAATTGGGGGGGTTGGGAAGCAAAAACCGTTTCTTTGTGTACGCAGAGGACGTGCTCCGTTAGCAAGGACCTTGCACTGGCCGCCTCGCAGCTTGGGCGTCAAATGCTTGCACAATTCCAGCCTCAAGGCTTCTGTTCGAGGTTGCTGTTCAACAAGCTGGCAAATGCTCCTTCGCTTCATGGGCGACCTTGACAGATACGAGATAGGTTGCATGATGATGTCCGTTCATCGCAAGACCCGCCTCGTGCCTCTTGCTTGCTGCGACTCGCCGTATGTCACCATGCCCTTTCCTGGAACGGAGGGCCCCAGTAAGGCTTCGCAAGACTGGCAATGGCGCTAGTTGCTGCTTGTATTCTTGAAGTCACACCATGTCTCCCTAAACATGACGTAAGACACAGCCAAAGCACCGCCCACTTTGCGAAGCGACATCACGTGCAGTGCAAAGGGGAATAATTGCGCAACATCGCGCAAGCTTCAATCACAAGGTGTCTGAGATGAAACTCTCCGGCAGCTTTGCCTTGTCTCAAGCTGCTTGAGCTTGTAGAGTTTCTTGTCCGCATCTCCTCACTTCGACCGCCGTGCGTTGCCGTGCACGGACATTTTGCGAGTGGAGGCACGTCAGAACGAGTCAAACCTGCTTCCACTGAGCTTGTGGCGTGAAGGTGGCGATGTCACAGCTTCCGATACGGAATACCTTCATCGAGGCATGAATTTGCATCTCCATAGCTCTTGCGTAGCAGCCTTGTGGGAGGTGAGAGCTCCAGCTACGGTTCGTCCACGATCTCAGACAGATTTCGTGCCCGGTCGAAGTCCCAGCTCCACCCTAGGAGGCCATCGGAGGCTATCGGAGGCCAGCTTTTGGTATTATCAAAAAGAAAGCTTTTCAGGGTCATTCCTCGCCACTGAGGTCCGGTCGACGGCTCAACACAGGCGACAGGTGCGGATTTCGGCTTGGGCTGTCGTTCATAGCCATCTTACTACATACGACGACCCCCTGCACAAGTCCATCTCCCTTCGACATCCCTCGACTGCACAGGTGCTCCAGTGCTTGCAAAGGCTCCCGCTCCGGCTGCTCCAGCACCATCTGCGTGCGTCGTGTCCAGCATCGAGACAGTCGCGAGCAGGCCAGGTGTCTGTCCTCGCATGGTTCTCCGTTCTGGCAGGGTTCGGGGGGGGGGTAGTGGTTGGTGGTCGTGATGGTGATGGTGGTGCTTGGGGGGGGGGGGGGGCGAATGGTAGGCGCCCCCCCCGCATCCAAGAAACCTTGAGTGGGCTTTGTTGGAACCTTTGCCTCCTCCTTGGAAGGCGATGCTCCGTGACTCGAACGCCTGACGCACGCCTGGCACTTGCAAGTGGATGGAGGGTCCATACGTACCATCTGTGCCAGGTTTTGTTCCCGCGTACTCCGCTGGGATCCTTCGCAATGGATCCGCCACATGCTTTTGCCTTGCCACAGGCAAGGCATGCGACGGGCTGAAGCAGAAACATGTTAAGTCTTGCTCCTCCTTCCTGGGGCTTTTTGGTGTCAATGGCAAAAAGAGAGCTTGGCAAACCGAGCACGAGCAATCAAACATCACTGACAATATGCCAATCCATTTTCATTCATGTTCACAAGTCGGAACTCCCTGAGAGCGGCTGTTGGAGATCCCCTCGCAGGCTCTAGACGAACTTCAGAGGCGAAGGCCACCCGTGCACTGCACGCACTACCATCAGACCTAAGAACTCGATGTTTCGTGTGTGCAGGACAAGTACGCTTAGCTCCGAGGCGGCGCGGGTACAAACGAGCATGTCGCCCAGCCTTTCAAGTGGACTCAAAGCCCGCGCGCATAATCGCGCATAGTTTGATGCGAAGATGGTCTGCTTGAGGTCATTCAGCTACGACCCGCAGAAGCTCGCTGGACATGATCCCTAGCACGCTGCAAGCTTAAATTGCCCAAGTTCTGGGGCAAGTGATGAGGGTGTGATGTGCCTCAGGCCTGACATGTACTACAGTTGGCCTGTGGATGCAAACCCTGCGGCCACTGCCTCGGACAAACTTTTCGGCTTGTTCGGGCCCATGGCGGATCTCTACTCTCCTGTGACTTCTTTTTCTGTCTCGCTTGCGACGTTTTCTTCGTGTCTCGCGTGACTGTTTTAAGAGGCTGCATTTGGCTGCATTTTCACTGTAAATGACAGCGTTTTGCCAGCACGTTCATTATTATTACCCCCATCACAAGTGAGAAGTAGTCACAAGTGTCCCCATGGCTGTCGACGGCCATCGATTAGGCCTTCATGTTGCCCAGCGCTGCTGCGGGACAGGCCCCTGTAGTGTCAAACGCAGATGCAATGCAGATGTAGATGTGGGCAGTAAGACACAGTACTCGTGGGAGAGAAGTGGAGGAAGTGTGGGAAGATGTAGGAAGTGTGGCAGGTGCCGGCCGCTCCAGCACCGGTGCCTCTCTCGACTTCGTGCCCCATAAAGCCTGCGTACCCTGCGGGCTGTGCTGCACAAGCAATACCAGCCGCGCCACAAGTGAAAGGACCACCCCCATCAGCCGCTGCTCCAGTACCCGTTTCGTGGGACGGCGCATATGCGGCACCAACCGCACCAACCGCACCAACAATGCCTCTGCAAGTTGTCCACGACAAGCCGCTCAATGTGCCAATGTGGCCCCAGCCTGCACACATGCACCCCACAGTGCTGCCAAGCAGATACCCTTTGCAGCATCCACAGCAAGTCTTGGTCCTCTCCAACTTCTTGCAGGAGGCGCCTGTGCAGTCTGTCTGAATGATGGTGGCGATAAAGATGGGCAGGGCAAGAATGTTCCCTGGCCTCAGGCGCCTAAAATGGACGAGCTGAGCTGACCTCAGCCCATCAGTTGCGGCTTTTCATGTTGTCGAAACTGAAAGATGTAGATGAGTGCAGGTCCCCAATGCAAGCAGATTCTCAGCCTTATGATGCCGCGGCGTTGCATCCTGTGGCTGGTGTGACGACGCCATGCCGGCCAGTCTGTTTTCGTTCAGATCACCGCCCCGAAAGCATGTTTGAAGGTTGTGACGGCCCCCGAAAGGTCCCTAGGTGGGTGAACTGCTTTGTGAGCTATGGTCCGGCTGGCTTCGCCCGCTTTCGCCCTTACCCCGACTCACCCCAAAACCGACCCTCGCCATCTAGAGAGAGAGGCCTTTGTAGCCAATCAGGAGGCAGAATGACCTAGAAATGCCTAGCAACATAGCCAGGATGATGCTTCGAAATATTCCAGTGCTCCGCTCAACTCGGATGCCGATCTCTGTAGACTTGAGCACGGATGGGTTGGTTCTAGCTGATTCTATCTGACGCACTCTCAGGTGACCTTCAACCGCGAGACACTCTTGGCAGACTTTGATGCGACCGTCTCAGAAAGCTCGAATGCTAGAAGTGCTCGGAAATGGTGGAATGGCAACTCGTTGCGACAGCTGCTGTGCTTTACATTGCTTTTCTTTTGCCTGGTCTGGTGAAAGCCGTCGAATCCCAGAGGCACGTAAGTTTCATCTCAGCACCAGCTTAATTTGTTTAGGAAGAGAGCGTGGCGCGCGAACATGGCACCAACCCAGCTAACTCAGGTGTAGAACTTGTGTGTCCACCATATATGTTTATGACATTTGACAAGGCCCGAGGATTGCGAGGCTGGCATCTCGGATTGGGGGACGATTTGGTGTCCCAGTGTTCACCCAACCGATAGCAGCATACAGCATCTACAGGCCGGTACGATTTCTTCTATCTGCCGATCGACTTCCAGACCGGGAACAATCTGGGGTGACCTAGCCGGGGGCTGGTCTGGACTGTTTTTACCTCTACTAACGGGAAGGTTACCTGACAACATGCAGAAGTATGTATGCTTGCAGCATCTTGCGCATACATGGTTTGCCTGAGTTACGCAATGCCATGCAATCGACAATGGACATCGCATCAGACCGGTTTTCTTCTGCAGGCCTTGCGCCTCCGTGCATGCTGCGCCTTGATCGCCTTGTCCCTGCTCCAAAGCCACACCGTGCTGACAGTGCTGTCTGCCGTGCCGCGAGAGGCAGTCTGGGGCACGCTGCAAGCGTGGTGGAACCGGCCGAGGGCGTAGCGATGCGCAGTTTTATGCACGCGAGCGAAATGTGGCGGATTGGGTAACGAGCCATTTGTTCATTCGCCCCATGATAACGCGTTGTTGCTGGACTACCGTCTATGCGTCACACCAGGCCTTCAGTCTGGTTGCGTCGGGCGGGCCAGCAAAAACCCGGCCATTCGCAACATGTAGGATGGAATTCTCATTCGATGTCGATACCTCCGTCAAGAAATAATTGCACAGCACCGCGACACGGACAGATCTCTGAAAGACCCTGTGTCATTGTCAGAGTCTGCGGAACAACCACATGCAACGCCAAGCTACGAACTTCAACCCATTTGTACACTAGACTACACACAAACATACGTTCTCACGCTACGGCCGAAAGCCCGTCTGAGATGTCTCGCCCATGCATCAACACCAGAGTCAGGCAGAGGTGTTCGGAATACGTTCGCGCTGGCTTGTTGAACAGTCTCGCAGCCGTCGTCTCATGGAGTGGGTATCCCAATGCAAGGCCCGATTTTTTTATTGACGGCGGTGTTGGCCCATCCGCCTCTTGCCAATGCATGATGCAAGATGGAGAGCACTGGATGGTAGCGATGATGCGAATCGTCCACACAGTGAGTTCCTTTCTGTGGCGAAACGACGGGTTTTGCCGCACTCATCTGCCGCAAAGCCGCCTGGCAGGAGACAAGCCGCAGACGTACAGACAGGATTTCGCCGTAACACTTGCCAAACTTGTAATGACAGAATGGCTATGATGATTCTGCATGCGGTTGGTTTGTCGAGGTTGGGTTAGGACGCGGTTCGCAGGCCGGCGATGGCGACGAGGCCGAACCCAAGCTGCACAAGGTCCCAACATGTCCCAACCGGTTTCCCTCCGCTCGGCTGCGACCGCGCCATGCCTTTGCAGACGTGCCGGCTTCTTTCAATGCTGCGGTTCGGGCCAACGACACGGTCATAGCTGCGTCACTGATGGGTGCAGCACGACACCGCACCGAGAATGACCGTGCGTTTTCGTTGTTGTTGTGGAAGCACGGAAAGTTTTGGGCGTGCGCGGCTTCATGCTCACTTTGTTTTGCACTGACGCTGGTGATGTTCGGGGCCTTGATGCTTGGCCGACTGCTTGAAGCTGCAGGACCCCGATGACGGACAGCAGCGCGCGTGAAAAACATGTCGGTTGTATGCTCAGGGCCTTCAAACTCAGACTTATAAAAATTTGCCCTTTATGTCACCGAGATGAGCCAGAGTTGCCGTCATGCTGGCAGTTAAATACAGAGCAGACAGAGCTCCGTCGCGCTAGGCATGTCGCCCCCGCCCATGTGGTAGTCAATTGCAAAGCTAGCGGGGACATTGCATGCATGCCGGTTTTCTCAACCTTTGGTGACTGATTGACACTCATCCTGCAGTCTCTCTGATGTGCAGGAGGGTTTGGCAGCTCACATTGCGACTTGGAGCTTTCGTTGCAAGCTCTGACTCTCACGCGAGAAGAGCGGTTTTCTGTCACCACGTGCGGTTTTTTGGAATAGTGTCATGGGTGTGGGTCCCATGATTTTTGCACCATTCCACCGCTAATCTGCACCGGTCCGAATCGCTCAGCACTGTATGCGAAATTTCGAAGCCGAATACGAACAAGTCGGAACGCCAAAGCTCTTCGCTTTTCAGAGGGGCTTACACAGACCCGCACAGACGTGACACTGGTTCAGCACAAATTGGCCCAAATCTTATGATTGGGTATTATCGACGTGAGCGGTCGCGTGCTTGAACCGTTGCAAGATACATGATGTGGGGGAAGTGCAACTCTTGGGCTTTTTTGAGCTGGCATACTATTCTGGCGGACGTCGGTCGGAGAACGTATCGTTGACACATTTGCAAGGTCAGTTTCGGGTTTGTCAGTTTTTTGATGATTGTTGGCCTTTTGCTCTGTGACTCATGCTCTGCGGCGTGCTTCTACGCTTTGTCACGCAGGCGTCTGCCTTGGCAGAGTGCCCATCCGAATGCAGAGTGCCTACTTTGCCTCGCCACCGACGCCGGGTGGATGCTGGTATCGAGGCTGGGTGATCGCCTGAGCTGCGTGCTGTTGACAATGCCAAGGCCCGCACTGCGCCGTGCGTGTGGGTGAGGCAGAGGAGGGCCTTCGTGCAGGTTTTGGCTGCTCTTGCCAATATTGGCCTAGTATAATGATTGAGCCTCCGTTGCCGCGTGCTCACGCTCCATTGTATGCCAACTCGCTTGTGAGCTGCTCTCTGCATTGTGCACTGGCTTGGGTCTGATATCGGAGCACCGCCTCAGCAAAAGATCCTTTCCCTCCGTATGCTCCCACACCGGACGGCTGGCGAGGCCACGCGTCCCGCCGGATGAGTTTGCGCATCACTGCGACGGTCGCGTGTTGTGAGTGGCTCGCCCTCCTCCAAGCTAGTCGGGAGGATCGTCGATTTGCAGATGCCCGGTGGACGATGCAGGAGACGATGTGTGCCGGCTGATCGGGAGCACCAGTGCGCAGGGTTTTTCGCACCGCCGTTCGAGCGCCCGTGCATCAAGCCAATACAGGTCGATTTTCGCACGTCACCATCTTCGTTGACGTCATGTAGCTTTCATGGGTTCTTGTTGACTAATTTGTGCCCTTTCCGGATCATTGAAAAGCCGGTGTTGAGTCCGCAGCACAGCTGCCATAGCCGTCGCAACTGGGAAGGCGACCCAGTATAAACTTGCCATCCACAAGGTGCAGACCACCTTCTGCCCCATCAGGATTTTCGTCTCTGCTCGTGGAATCCGACCTCTTGCTCCAACAGGCAGCCAGGCAGCTCCTACAGCACCGCCTTGGCTGCTCCAGCATCCCTTCGCTGCCATTCCCAGCCATCGCGGTTGCCGAGAGGCGCAAGCGCGTTGCCTACCCGGCCGACGCGTGCCTCTGCGGCTTTGCGTCCTTGCCCGTGAGACGGGAGGGCGTTGCCTGTGAGACGGGAGGGCGTTGGAATGCAGAGTCTCCTTGCCTCGTCGCTCGTCAGGCACGCCACATTGCGCGGCACGCCAGACGTCGCTGGGGCCATGCCCGGTGCGCAGCTCCCGACGCTGGAGGATGTGCTGCATGATGCGGCCCCGCCCGTGCCCAGCCGGCTGGGTCCGTAGGCGACTCGGATTCGTCTTTGGGAGCAAGAAAGTGCGAGGAGAAAAAATGTTGTCCCAGCACTTGCCGATGCTGGATTAAAGTGCTGACAACTGTTGCCCAAGCTCCGCACACGGAATGGTTGCTGGACGGATAACTTACGACACGCGCCGCGGGGCCGCAGCAGGGCCGCGGTGGGGCTCACGCAAGCCGCGGTCCCGCTTGACCTGATCTGGGCGTTGCGTCGAGGCCGCATCGTCGCGCTGACGAAGCCCACGGGGGGCGTGCGCGCGCTAGTCATGGGCGATGCTTCCGGCGTCTTGTCGGGCGCACCTTGGCGCAACAGGCCTTCCGAGAGGTTTGCGCTCCTTTCCAATATGCGCTGAGCACAAGAGCGGGGCCTGAGGCCCCGGTGCGAGTTTTGCGCCTTGCCACAGAAACCGAGCCCCGGACCACAGTGTTGCGCATTGACGGCTTTGGCGCGTAGTATGACCACATCTCCAAGGCATGCATGCTCGATACCTTGCTTGTCGGTTGGTCGTCTTCGGCGTGGAGGGCACGAGGATGAGCGCGGGCGGAGGGCGCTCGTCG